CCTCTTTCGCCCCCTCCGACATAAAAACTATGTCGGGCGAGTCTAGTGTCTAATATGCTACCCTCTCTGCCTCGAATACCCCCTCCTCCTCCTCCGACACCCTGACGACCTCCACCTCGAGTAACCCCTTCTCCTCCGACACCTTGACGACCTCCACCTCCGGTACCTTCCCGACCGTTGCCTCGGGTACCCCCTCCTCCGACGACACCCTCCCGACCTCCGCCTCGGGTACCCCCTCCTCCTCCGGCACCCTCCCGACCCCCCCCCCCCGACCCCCTGACGACCCCCTCCTCTGGCACCCTCCCGACCCCCCCCTCCTCCGACACCCTGACGACCTCCACCTCCGGCACCCTCCCGACGGCTGCCTCGGGTACCCCTTCCTCCGTCTCCATCAGGGCCTGATCCTCCATCTCCATCTCCATATCTATCGGGCCATCGAGATATGAAGCTAATGCATCATCCGATGCCCACAATGAGTCAACATACCCCGTCTGACCTCCTCAACTCTGATAACCACCGGCCCCTCCGTCACCCCCTCCGTCCCGATAGCCGCCTGCCCCTCCGTCATCCCCTCCACCTGTCCCTCAGTCACCCACTCCGTCCTGATAGCCGCCTGTCCCTCCGTCATCCCCTCCATCCCGATACTCGTCATTCCCACGCAGGTCTACTATGTCGCCCCGTATCACTACGACCTCAGCATAAAGGTCTGCTAAATCGACCTGTACCATCCCGACATCACGTCGTAAGTCAGCTACTTCGCCTCGTAAGCCAGCTACGTCGCCTCTAATCTCCATCATAAGTCGGAACATATCATCGATAGAAGCACTCTGACTACGTGTAGCTGATCCACGTGGGAGGTGTCCGAACGTAGGAGACGGTGATCTCATGCAGGGAAGTGACACTCTCAATGGAGGTGATTGCATGTAGGGAGGGGACACCCTCGACGGAGGCGACATCCTCGGGGAATGTGACACCCTCGACGGAGGTGACACCCTCAGCAGAGGCGACATCCTCGGGGAATGTGACACCCTCGATGGATGTGATAGTTGACGGCGCTCCTGAAAAAAGAAACATTACAAATCAATAACTTCATTAAAAAATTATAATGATAATCAATATATTATATTCAATTAATATACCATGTCCCGATTGACGATGGACTCAGGCCTCTTTGGAGCAGCACGATCTGTCAACAACTCACAGATAAAAGTCTGATCCTCTTCCTCGATCGATGGTGTCAGCTCAGTGAGAACTTCAAACTGACATATTGACATTTTATCGAATTACTGACCACGTATCCAACTTCAAAAATGACATACAACAGAAAGCGCAAATATATAATATGTACCTCAGGATCGTCTAGGATAACTGATAGCTGTTTTGCAAGGGACTTGTCTTGTGCTCGCCAGCGGTACATCCGAGGGATGCATGTATCCCCTCTCCTCACATACGATCAGCCAAGATGGGAACAGTCTTGTAGACCCATATCTGCAACAATTACGATTATTATATGTACAATTTAATAAAAAATTGATAACGCATTATATTAAACATTTACCTGCAAAGCTAACGACAGACCATATACATCGTACTTACGCTCCGACCTATCTCCCCTAGGCATCGAATGCCCCCTCCTAAAAACGTGGAAAGTATCGAAAAAGCATCTCTCCCCCCACGGATAGTTGTTGAATGTATCGAAGTCATCAACGACTTGCAAATGAAAAACGTCAATCGACGTCTTCCTGTGATGACACCTCAGTACGCTCTCTAGTATAAACACCATCCCTAACTTCAACTTGTCGGACAGCTGGTCGCTTCCCCTGAATGCATCTCCTAACTGCGCCAGTGTCATTGTCATGTGCCCATTAAAATAATCATTTAGCAGCCTCTTGTCTGTCGAAATACTGGCCCTCGCTGCCTCTTCGCTCGTACATCCCAATCCAGTGATGAGGGCAAACTCGAAAATAGAAAATGTAGCAATCTTGTCCCCAAGATCAAAGTGGAGGGCATCTCCGTCAACTGGCTTAAGCAGCCGATACAGTAATAAATCGATCAATTGTCCAGAGAACTGTACAGATCGCAGTGAATACAGGGGCCATAGGCAGGATCGACGTAATATCTCTGCGTGCTTCTCGTCCAGTGAATCCAACACCGCTGTGAAGCTGGCAAAGTTACAGTTCGACGTAACTTTGCCAGAAACCTGTCTTAAGGCTGCGTCCAAATGGTAATCCATCCTATAAAATTTTAAATGTTAGAACATTTGAAACATAATGTCACAAAATTCAACTCACCGAACTGTAAGTAATATACGCACGAAATAACAGATAATAAAGAAAATGAATTAAAAATTACACAACAACTTATAAAAAAGGGAAAAATTAATTTTTATAAAATTATTTATTTCATAGTTTATTTTAACCCATGTTAGAAATTTATTTCAATTCTTTATTTAATTAAATTTGATTATTTATATTTAATTACATATTTAAATAAATTATTTTGAAAATTTATATTTCTTACTTATTAAATTTGTTTATTTTTATTTAAATGTTCATTATTTATTTCAATTGTTTATCAAAATTATTTATTTCGATTTTTTAATTGTTTATTTCACATTTATTTTATTTGTTTATTGAATGCTTAATTTTAACTATTTATTATAATTGTATATTTAATTATTTTCTTTAAATTAATTATTGAACATTTAAACGTAAATATGTAATTATTTGTTATATTTTTCTTTAGTTGTTTATTCAATATTTATTTTAATTATTAAGCGAATATTTAATTATTTATTTTAAATGTTAGATATTTATTTCAATTGTTTATCTACATTTTAATTACTTACTTTGATTATTTTTATCCAATTATTTTTCATTTAATTGTTTCAATTGTTCATTTAAATTATTTGATTTAATTATTTATACTGATCAATTATTTACATTATTTATTGAACAACAGCAAACACAAATATTTCATTATTTATTTCAAATGTTAGAGATTTATTTCAATTAAACATTAACTAATATTTTGATTATTAACATTTATTCATTTATCATTTAATTATTATTTAAATGTTCATTATTTATTTTTGTGTGTTTCAATTAATTATTTATTCCAATTGTTTTTCATTTATTTGTTTCAATTGTTCATTTAAATTATCTGATTTAATTACTTATATGAATCGATTATTTAAATTATTTATTTAACAAGCAAACGTAATTATTTAATTATTCATTTCAAATGTTAGAAATTTGTTTCAATTAAACTTTAATTAATATTTTCAGTATTAACATTTATTCATTTATCATTGAAATAATCATGTAATTATTATTTAAATGTTCATTATTTATTTTTGTGCATTTCAATTAATTATTTATTCCAATTGTTTTTCATTATTTGTTTCAATTGTTCATTTAAATTATTTGATTTAATTACTTATATGGAAAGATTATTTAAATTATTTATTGAACAAGCAAACGTAATTATTTAATTCAAATGTTAGAAATTTGTATCAATTAAATTTTAATTGGTATTTTGATTAATAACATTTATTTATTTATCATTTAAATAATCATTTAATTATTACTTACATGTCCATTATTTATTTTTGTGAGAAATTAATTATTTATTCCAATGATTTTTCATTTCAATTGTTCTTTTAAATTATTTAATTTAATTATTTGATTATTTAAATTATTTATTGAAGAAGTAAACGTAAATATTTAATTATTTATTTAAAAGGTTAAATTTCTTTCAATTAATATGTAATTAAATTTTACTTGCGTATTTTGATTATT